CCGTCCCACACACACACACAATGTCCCAACCCGTCCCACACACACACACAATGTCCCAACCCGTCCCACACACACACACAATGTCCCAACCCGTCCCACACACACACAATGTCCCAACCCGTCCCACACACACACAAGGTTAAATTTACAACAAAACATCCGAGGTCTGACCTTCCAAGGGCCACAGTCCCAGATTTGTGAAGCTGAGCCACTAAGGTCAGCAAGCAGGCACGAGAGCAGCGAGGCCTCGTCAGCAGTGTGGTTGCAGGAGACGCAAGGCAACACACTCGGAGGCTGCCGGTCGTCTCCACTCCCTCAGTAGAACACAAATGAAAATGGAGAGAGGAGAGTGTCAGAGATGATGGGAACACGACAAAATGCTTACCACCGGAGAAAGAAAGAATATATGTTAAAGGGGCTACGGCAGCAGTAACATCAGCAGCACTAACAACAGCAGCAGTAACAGCAACAGCAGCAGTAACAACAGCAGCAGTAACATCAAATGCAGCAGCAGTAACAGTAACAACAGCAGCAGTAACAGTAACAACAGCAGCAGTAACAACAGCAGCAGCAACAGCAGCAGTAACATCAAATGCAGCAGCAGTAACAGTAACAACAGCAGCAGTAACAACAGCAGCAGCAACAGCAGCAGTAACAATAACAGCAGCAGTAATAGCAGTAATAACAACAGTAACAGCAGTAATAACAGCAGTAACAACAGCAACAACAGCACCTTGTTTGACCCCCCACGTTTCATTGAGAAATATTCAGAGGAAACATTACTCAATTTCACAGCTAATTTACATACCTAACAAGGAAATACATATATATGTAGCGGTGACAGGCAGCCAGTCGTCCTGTGTACCGAGTACTTATAGTAACTACGTCGACCATTGCACAGAAATTATATAAATTATAAATTTATAAAGTACAAATCTGTACCATTGAATTTGGACAAGCCGGAAATGTTTTATATTGATGCTACAATGAAAACCTAACCTAACCTAACCTAACCTACCCTAACCTAACCTAACCTAACCTAACCTAACCTAACCTAACCTAACCTAACCTAACCTAACCTTCCTAACCTAACCTTCCTAACCTAACCTAACCTAACCTAACCTAACCTTCCTAACCTAACCTTCCTAACCTAACCTAACCTAACCTAACCTAACCTTCCTAACCTAACCTAACCTAACCTAACCTAACCTGACCTAACCTAACCTAACCTAACCTAACCTAACCTAACCTAACCTAACCTAACCTAACCTAACCTAACCTAACCTAACCTGACCTAACCTAACCTAACCTAACCTAACCTAACCTAACCTAACCTAACCTAACCTAACCTAACCTAACCTAACCTAACCTAACCTAACCTAACCTTCCTAACCTAACCTAACCTAACCTAACCTAACCTGACCTAACCTAACCTAACCTAACCTACCCTAACCTAACCTAACCTAACCTAACCTAACCTACCCTAACCTACCCTAACCTAACCTGACCTAACCTAACCTAACCTAACCTAACCTAACCTAACCTAACCTAACCTAACCTAACCTAACCTAACCTAACCTAACCTAACCTAACCTAACCCTAACCTAACCTAACCTAACCTAACCTAACCTAACCTAACCTAACCTAACCTAACCTACCCTAACCTAACCTAACCTAACCTAACCTAACCTAACCTAACCTAACCTAACCTAACCTACCCTAACCTAACCTAACCTAACCTAACCTAACCTAACCTAACCTAACCTAACCTAACCTAACCTAACCTAACCTAACCTAACCTAACCTAACCTAACCTAACCTAACCTAACCTAACCTAACCTAACCTGACCTAACCTAACCTAACCTAACCTAACCTACCTAACCTAACCTTCCTAGGTCTAATGCACGCCATTTGAGGACTAATATTGTACATATATATATATATGTGCTATGCTAGGCCTAGGTATCTTTAATTTAGTTAACCTTAGGTACCTTAACCTAACCTAACCTAACCTTCCTAGGTCTAATGCACGCCATTTTGTTAGACTCTTATAAAAGGAATACTATCAAATTGATGTATAGATGTAATCTTTAGATGTACAATGGTCTAATTGCCCATTACATTTATGACAGTACGATGGTTGACATTGTCACAAAAAATACTATCTAAACAGGAAGATGGAGTTGTGGCAGGACGTACTTCTCTGTTTAGCAATTCTCTAAAATGTTTTAAGTGTTCAACTTTGTCAAAAAAATAGCTTTACAAGCCTCAAGAAACAAAGAGAGAAGCTTGTGAGTTGTAGTAATGAATAGTTTCCTCCACAGGCAGACTACAGAGCCTTGTTTAGTGGGCAGATCTGTATGCACACTGAAGGCCACAGGTGTCCAGCTCGTCAGCTAGAAAGTCAATGAGTATATAATCAAATTGTTTAGTATCGTGTTTAGTCCACTAGTTCTGTAGTTACCAGAGGCATGCCAGGTCTTTGGTAAGGCAACAAGTACAGAGTCATTACAAGATGACAAGATATTACAAGTACAACAAGTTATTACAGCTGTCGCTGTACCGGGGGGAGAGACAGCCTGTAAGTCACATATATAAACACACAGTTTCGGCGTTCCATGTTAAAGGTCGTCAGAGTACATATGTCAAAGCGGTTACTTATACTCACACATGTGAATGAATAAACGATAAATATGAGACCTTCCACTCCCATTCCACCACAGAAAGCTAATATTAAATTCATAATTTATAGCAGGATTATGTAAATTTTCAGCATCCATGGACCCATTCAGCAGATTTAAGTGCGCATCTTATCGGGAATATTCGATGTTAAAGTCACCTGCCACCATGAGGTTAGCATCATGATACCAAGTACCCAGATGAGACGTTTCCGCCAGCACACCTAGGGACACATGTGGACACATGTGCTGCTGCTGGTGAGACAAGGCACTACACACATGTGATCCAACACTGCCCACCACCATTGGCGACAAGTACACCGATAGTCCACTGATACAGTATTAACAACATCAACTTTACAGTGCATACTGTACCGTGACAGGATAACTGTACCTGGTCGTACCTGACCCTGGTCGTTCTATATTCCCATGACCCAAAGTGTACCCCTACAGGGCCGAAAACTGACACAGATAACACAGTATGTTTTAACATCAATGCTATCAGAGATGCTACCTACTTTAAGACTTATAAATCATCAATTAGACTGAGTCTCCATCGACCGTATTGACGGAGACAACACTGAAGCCTCTTGCCTCGATGTAATCCTTGAGCTTACGTGAGTCACATACCTGAGACGGTACACAAATACACTGGGACTCTTCCAGTGCTTCAAGCCGTAAACATCGACAAACTTCATCCCAACAAAGGGCGTCTGAGCTGAATTGCAGCCACAATTAAGTGATGCTGTTAAAAAGATAGTAATATATTTATTTTTTCCTTTTTGTATGTTTTCTTCTTCAATTATAAAGGTGAGTTTCAAGGACTCAAGCAGTGCGCTGTATCAGTGAATAAAAGCAGAAACTACCGCAACAGCAGCAGCAGCAACAGCAGCAGCTGCAACAGCAGCAGCTGCAACAGCAGCAGCAGCAAGAGGTAGCAAGAGGCAGCAACAGCAGCAGCAGCAGCAAGAGGCAGCAACAGCAGCAGCAGCAACCCGCCCGGCAGCAACCACCGGAATAGCAAGTAGTGTGTGTGGGAGCATGATAATCTCTGGCCGGAACACATCCACCGTGGGAGCCCCAGGGTGAACACGGGTAAATACCGGCCCCTACTGCTGCTGCTGCTGCTGCTGCTGCTGCTTCATACTCACTACATGCCTCCACGCCTGTACACATGCTCAGATCGGCCAGTACACACACATGCGCGCACACACACACACACACACACACACACACACACACACACACACACACACACACACACACACACACACACACACACACACACACACGCAATGTTTGCCGATGATGCAAAAATTATGAGGAGGATTGAAACAGGATGATAGTAGGAGGCTCCAAGATGACCTAGACAGACTGAGTGAATGGTCCAACAAATGGCTGTTGAAGTTCAACCCGAGTAAATGCAAAGTAATGAAACTAGGCGGTGGAAACAGGAGGCCAGACACAGGATACAGAATAGGAGATGAAGTACTTAATGAAACGGACAGAGAGAAAGATCTAGGAGTTGATATCACACCAAACCTGTCTCCTGAAGCCCACATAAAAAGAATAACGTCTGCGGCATGTGCGAGGCTGGCTAACATCAGAACAGCGTTCAGGAACATGTGTAAGGAATCATTAAGAATCTTGTACACCACATATGTAAGACCAATCCTGGAGTATGCGGCCCCAGCATGGAGCCCGTACCTTGTCAAGCACAAAACGAAGCTGGAAAAAGTCCAAAGGTATGCCACTAGCCTAGTCCCAGAACTAAGAAGCATGAGTTATGAGGAAAGGCTGCGGGAAATGCACCTTACGACACTGGAAGACAGAAGAGTAAGGGGAGACATGATCACAATCAACAAAATCCTCAGGGGAATCGACCGGGTAAACAAGGACAAACTATTCAACACTGGTGGGACGCGAACAAGGGGACACAGGTGGAAACTGAGTACCCACATGAGCCACAGGGACGTTAGAAGGAACTTTTTCAGTGTCAGAGTAGTTAACGGATGGAATGCATTAGGCAGTGATGTGGTGGAGGCTGACTCCATACACAGTTTCAAATGTAGATATGATAGAGCCCAGTAGGCTCAGGAATCTGTACACCAGTTGATTGACGGTTGAGAGGCGGGACCAAAGAGCCAAAGCTCAATCCCCCCCCCTGCAAGCACAACTAGGTGAGCGCACACACACACACACACACACACACACACACACACACACACACACACACACACACACACACACACACACACACACACACACACACACACACACACTAAAGCCATTATAAGAACCCTCCAAGATACCTCAGAAACATGGCGCCACCTGAGACCAAAGCTGCTAATCAGGGGAATGGCATCCATGGGAGAGGTTAGTTTACTTCATTTATTAACCACCTTATACCCATCCCGTGGGCGGTGATGTACCCCATACCCATCCCGAGGGTGGTAGTGTACCCCATACCCATCCCGAGGGTGGTAGTGGAAGAGGTTACAGAGGCACATAATGGGTACAGGAACTGAACCTCAAAATTCATTTAGCTAAGCAAGTTAGTCTTAATAAGCTAATTACAGAGTACAGTGTATTACCAGCTAGCTTTCAAACTGTGTGGTGGAGTGCACACCACCAGTTCGAGTGCCCAGAGAGTGCACCAAAAGTTAACTCAGTTAGCTTTTGGTGCACTCACTTGTACAGTAAGTGTACACTGTTGGGTGTCATGGGATAGCAGATCACACCAGCTGTCACAAAATAGCACGGTGGCCGCCGTAGCAGTTTTGTAAAAGGATTTACACCCATTGTAGTCGGTAGTACAGTTGAGACCAGGTAGAGTGGAAAGTTCCAGTCACGGAGTCAAGCGGTGGTGGAGAGGAGGTAGGCCAATGGCCTGGCCACCTGAATAACCATCAGGTCTATTGACTTGAGATCGACTTGAGAATGGTCCAGGACGGACCGAAACGTCGTAGTCCCTTCACTTTCTAGTGTGTGGTCTGGTCTACATTCTTCAGCCACGTTATTGTGACTCATCGTCTGGACCCATCAGGTCTCCTGGACACTGAGGTCACAGGCACCACGTGACCCAAGGCAGACTCATGATTCGTGGGGCATCCCACGGTGTCCCTAGGCCTGATCGCTGATTGGTTCTTTCGAAGAACAGAGGGGGACAAGCATGGCCCATTCCTGCCTCGCCTTGGGGAAGCATTCTGTCCTCTGTCGCTGTCCTTGTGAGACGTGCCTTCCCGTAGTTCGGCCAAACTGCGAGAAACACAGAGCAACATAAAGTTAACTCTGTATCATCGTTCGGTCAACGCGGGTCCGTCTGCAGAATCCAGGTTCGCGGCGATAGAAATTACGGTATTTACGAGTTAAAGAAGAGATACAGTGTTACTCACCACGAAGTCACTCGCAGAGTGAAAGGGACTGCATCAGAGTGAATTTCATCCTAAAGGGACCATCCATCAATCTAGTGTTATGAGAAGTAATCTCAAGGGTTGAGAGACTATGGCAGTAAGCTGCGATTTCTTTCCTAAGGGAAAATAGTGTGATTTCAGCCAGTTCTGGGGGACATAGAAATTCCCACCAAATGATGACCAGACCACACACTAGAAGGTGAAGGGACGACGACTTTTCGGTCCGTCCTGGACCATTCTCACGTCATTCTCATACTTTAGCCATGTTATTGTGACTCATCGCGTGCATATGGATCCCACCTAATCCGTGCTGCCACCCCGTGTATCTTGAACACCAGTTCACCATCCGGAGTAAGTACGACACCTTGCACCGTGCACGTTTGCTCTCTGTCCCTCGCCTCCATCTGAGAGACCAACCTCATGTTTAGAGCGAGCAATTCCCGCCCTTGTGGAGGGGACCCTACCATACGCATCCTTAATTGAGGGGGTGTCTGCACCGCTCTCCTATAGTACCATTGTGTTGACCTGTGTGGTTCGGTTCCATATTATAATGTTTTGTTTATAGATTTCCATGTAAAAGCTTTGTATGATTTCAGGAGAAACCAGTGATTCCAGAGAGGTAAGGATGTTGTGTTGTGATATCATGATATATTAGATTACTGTGTTTATTGATTAATATCCATGTGATTATTAATAACGATTGTGTTGTGTTGTGATTCGTTGTGCCGTGTTATTGTTTAGCACTGAGAAGTGTAGCAGAGTGTTATCGTGTTCTGATTATCTGTGCAACTAGGAATTTGTGTGATCTTTAATTGTTAATTAAAGGGTAAGTGAAGTTAATTGGTGTAATTAACGTAATCAAGGAAGTGTCATAGTCTTGTTTGGCAAGCTGTCGTGAGTGACAGCGTCGAGGTAACGTAATTCGTTCTTGATTAATTAACTGTCCATTTGACAGTAATTGTTGTGATTATTAACTGAGTTTTTAATTGGTCCTGGTGACAGAGTAATTACAGTTAGCAAATTATTGTTTTGATTGTTTGACTATCGGAGAGACAGATTGTAATTAACGTAGGCCACTTTGTTGTTGATTGTCGGACAACAGTAATTAAAGTAATTGATAGAGACTAATTAGGGGGTAATTAGCCATTATTGTGATTTCCATCCTTAGAGACGTGTGTCAATAATTGAGAGGGTTAGCAGAGACTGTCTCAGTGCCCTGTCTGGCATTGTTGTTAATCGGACAGAAGAAAATGTATATATGCTGGTTAGCATTGTAAATGTGTGGCCACGTCTGTGGTAGAACAAAAAATCGTTTTGCTGTAATTGTTTGAGTTGTATCTTGGGTCTGAGTGTCCACCAATATTGTTCAGCCTAGTTCATAATACCAGCCAATAGCGGTGAGGATAGATATCCATACTAAACTAAGAGCGACTAGGATAGGAGTCCTTCCTATACTGCTGTTTGGATAGCTGTCTTTAGCGTCACTTAGGGACATTAACGTGACGTTAAGAATGTTGTGCCTTCTAGTAGATTTAGGGAGGCCGGTCGGCCGAGCGGACAGCACGCGGGACTTGTGATCCTGTGGTCCTGGGTTCGATCCCAGGCGCCGGCGAGAAACAATGGGCAGAGTTTCTGTCACCCTATGCCCCTGTTACCTAGCAGTAAAATAGGTACCTGGGTGTTAGTCAGCTGTCACGGGCTGCTTCCTGTGGGTGGAGGCCTGGTCGAGGACCGGGCCGCGGGGACACTAAAGCCCCGAAATCATCTCAAGATAACCTCAAGATAACTACTGCTCTCAGACTGTTTATAGGCAATCAAAGGTTATAATCAACTCCTTCTCTGAGGGCAGATTCTTTGCATAACTCATCAGCTCCTGTCGTGCATTCAGAAGCCAACACGTGACGGAATCCACATGAGATGGGCTCTGTTATTATTATTATTAATTTTGTTGTATTTGTCTAGCTTCAGAAACGAGCATTTTACAATTGTGTCTTAAACAGTTGAGCAGAATTAAGGATGATAAGAGGGGAGAAGACATGGAGGAAAAATGTAGTAGAGACAACAGTCCTCACGACCGCCTCAACAGCAACAGCAGCAGCAGCAGGAGGAGGAGCAGTAGTCCCCCACGACCGCCTCAACAGCAGCAGCAGCAGCAGCAGCAGGAGGAGGAGCAGTAGTCCCCCACGACCGCCTCAACAGCAGCAGCAGCAGCAGCAGGAGGAGGAGCAGTAGTCCCCCACGACCGCCTCAACAGCAGCAGCAGCAGCAGGAGCAGCAGTCCCCCACGACCGCCTCAACAGCAGCAGGAGGAGCAGCAGTAGTCCCCCACGACCGCCTCAACAGCAGCAGCAGCAGCAGGAGCAGCAGTCCCCCACGACCGCCTCAACAGCAGCAGGAGGAGCAGCAGTAGTCCCCCACGACCGCCTCAACAGCAGCAGGAGGAGCAGCAGTAGTCCCCCACGACCGCCTCAACAGCAGCAGCAGCAGCAGGAGCAGCAGTCCCCCACGACCGCCTCAACAGCAGCAGCAGGAGCAGCAGTAGTCCCCCACGACCGCCTCAACAGCAGCAGCAGCAGCAGCAGCAGCAGCAGCAGGAGCAGTAGTCCCCCACGACCGCCTCAACAGCAGCAGCAGCAGCAGCAGCAGCAGCAGGAGCAGCAGTCCCCCACGACCGCCTCAACAGCAGCAGCAGCAGCAGCAGCAGCAGCAGTAGTCCCCCACGACCGCCTCAACAGCAGCAGCAGCAGCAGCAGGAGGAGCAGTAGTCCCCCACGACCGCCTCAACAACAGCAGCAGCAGCAGCAGCAGGAGGAGCAGTAGTCCCCCACGACCGCCTCAACAGCAGCAGCAGCAGCAGCAGCAGGAGGAGCAGCAGTCCCCCACGACCGCCTCAACAGCAGCAGCAGGAGCAGCAGTAGTCCCCCACGACCGCCTCAACAGCAGCAGCAGCAGGAGGAGCAGCAGTAGTCCCCCACGACCGCCTCAACAGCAGCAGCAGCAGCAGGAGGAGCAGTAGTCCCCCACGACCGCCTCCAGCGGCCGGAGCAGCTCATCAGCACCCAGCAGACTCGTGGGTCATCAAGCCTTTTATAAGACTAAACACGTTCCGTCATCTCCCAGTGATCATGGCTCACCCGTGCCCTTACACCGCCCTCTGGCTCTCCCTGTTTATCTTCTCACCATTTTTGTGTTTTCTGGGAATATGTTGGTAGGCGTGGCCCTGACGGTGCCTAGAGGCGCCAAGGTCAACACCCGAGGTGCTTCAGAAGGGTACGTTTGGCGGCAGCGAGTGGTTGCTTGGCGATGTTTGGCACTCAGGGTACTGAGGGTGAGGCTGTCTTGACTCAGCCTGCGAAAGTGGCTACATTACCCCCGAGGCCCAACAGGGGTAGCTAGGGTGAGCGGACGCACTTGCCCCGATAGCTGGCTACCTTGCCTCTGTTCTCCAGTCTTGCCAAGTATCCTAAGTCTGGCCACCTACCCTCCTCCCACAGTTTGTAAATACTTATTTGTGGTGTGTATATGTGTAGAGGAGGGAAGGGAGGGGGGGGGGAGTGTGTATCGTGGGAGATGTGCTGGAGTGTATTTGTAGGGAGGGAGAGGTGTACTCACCTAGTTGTGCTTGTGGGGGGGGGGTTGAGCTTTGGCTCTTTGGTCCCGCCTCTCGACCGTCAATCAACTGGTGTACAGATTTCCGAGCTTCTCGAGCTCTATCATATCTACATTTGAAGTGTATGTGTGTGTAATCACCTAGTTGTTATGTTTGAAGGAACGAGACATAGCTCCCAAGCCCCCGCCTTTCTATCTGGCCAATTAATGCAATCAGTTTCATTCCTCCTGTTTCATATATTTGCTTTTTAGGCTGTTTATCACATTGGTGTGAACGCTGTGCTTGTGTAGCCTGTTGCAGTTACTTGTGAGTTACACTCAGGTAACGTTGCCTCACGTCTCTCCTGCCTGAGAAAGGTGAAATGCTTGAAGACGTTTCCCTCGCAACTGATGCCGCTGTTCACCTAAAGCATTAAATAAGTACTTAAGCTCTTGAGACAAGTTTAAATGGGTATCTCTGTACTTTGTCTATTCATATTTTATGCGTTATCACGACTGGACTGCATGCTGGTGCTGCATACTCAACAGCTTGTCTTGCGCAGGTTGTATACAACACTCTAGAAGTCGTTTTGTCCAGAGTTCTTAAAGGCTTTTTAGCCCAAAGGTTTCCGGTTATATTGATTAATTTGTTATCGTTGTCGCTGGAGGTGTCTAGTTTGTTGTGTGAGCCATACACATCCTGTGAGCCATACACATCCTGTGAGCCATACACATCCTGTGAGCCATACACATCCTGTGAGCCATACACATCCTGTGAGCCATACACATCCTGTGAGCCATACACATCCTGTGAGCAGTAGTGCATAAAATGCTTCAATTTTTTATTCTGAGAGTGGCCACCCTTTCAGCCCTTACTGCTCCTGGGAACTCACCTTCCCCCCTCGTTACTTTGCTTTCATCAGGGTTAATTAAGAGTAAGCAACCATCCCTCTGACCACCGCTAATGCGTATCTTAATGTAGGCTTCTACCATCATAGCTTAGCATTTTAAAAGCACCGAATCACCTTCTGTGGTTGATTGTTCAATAAACCCCTGAACTATATGTTTAACACTTCTCTAACCCTGTCCATGGAGGACAGAAGAAAATGTATATATGCTGATTAGCATAGTAAATGTGGGGCCACGTCCGGGGTAGAAAATAATAATAATAAAAAAAAAACCTCATCTTCGTATCTCACACCTCTCCTGAAAATGAGTGGCACCCAGTACCAGTCCTTGATGCAAGCCACTCATAGCTTCTCACCAGTCCCACTTCTCTCATCTCAACGTCACCTCTCTGGGCCAGATTGAGTTAAATATGTTCTGACAATGTTAATTATTGTCATTTCATTATATAACTCCAATACAATCGTTAGAAATGATCTATCTTCAATGAATCCAGGCTGGTGCTCTGAGACACAGCACGCATTTAATAATAATAAAAATAATAAAAATAATAATAATAATAATAATAAAATCCGTAGGAGCAGTGATGAGGGTTCAAACTTATGCGGGTGGAGGTGCTCACGCACACGCTTCTAGCGACTAGACCAAAAAATGCTAATATGCTAGTTCTAGCAACTAGACCTAAAATAAAAATGCCCCTACTAATAGTAGGGGGATTTTATGTTCCTTATTCACCGTGAATTGGTGAAAATATATATATATATATATATATATATATATATATATATATATATATATATATATATATATATATATATATATATATATATATATATATTACTTGTAATTGACTGTAACCTCGTAACTGGGAAGGGAAGGGTAGGGAACTATGAGGAGAAATCGCCAAGCCATTACGACTATATAGCACTGGGAAGGGGTCAGGATAAGGGTTTGGGATGGGACGGAGGAAAGGAATGGTGCCCAATCACTTGGACGGTCGGGAATTGAACGCCGACCTGCACGAAGCGAGACCGTCGCTCTGCCGTCCAGCCCAAGTGGTTGGGACTTGTAACTGGACTGTTGGTGACCTCAAATCACTGTTTACATCAAAGCTGGAAAACAAGCCGCAATCACCCCTGTGAGTTGATGTATTCCATGATTAGGGAGAGTTCTTCAGGGAGAGTTCTTTAAGGAGAGTTTTTTAGGGAGAGATCTTCAGGGAGAGTTCTTTAGGGAGAGATCTTTAGGGAGAGATCTTTAGGGAGAGTTATTTAGGGAGAGATCTTTAGGGAGAGTTCTTTAGGGAGAGATCTTTAGGGAGAGTTCTTTAGGGAGAGATCTTTAGGGAGAGATCTTTAGGGAGAGATCTTTAGGGAGAGTTATTTAGGGAGAGATCTTTAGGGAGAGTTCTTTAGGGAGAGATCTTTAGGGAGAGTTATTTAGGGAGAGATCTTTAGGGAGAGATCTTTAGGGAGAGATCTTTAGTGAGAGATCTTTAAGAAGTTCTTTAGACAATTACTCATTAATGGAGGGCCAGTGGGTTGTGTTATAGACGTTGTCCGTGACTAGGATCACCGCCCTCATGATGTGGACCCTTCCACCACCCCCTCTTATATTGTCTCTCTCTCTCTCTCCTCTCTCTCTCTCTCTCTCTCTCTCTCTCTCTCTCTCTCTCTCTCTCTCTCTCTCTCTCTCTCTCTCTCTCTCTCTCTCTCTCTCTCTCTCTCTCTCTCTCTCTCTCTCTCTCTCTCTCTCTCTGCTCTCTCTCTCTCTCTCTCTCTCTCTGCCTCTCTGTAGTGTTGTCTGGCGGGTCCTGACACACGTAGCGGACTCTGGTGTCTGCAGGGCTTGGCGACGGGAGTAGGGGGGGGGGTGTAGCGTCGCGGTTCACCGTCCAGGTCATAGCTCCGGAGTCCTGTGTCTGGCTCTGTATATATATATATATATATATATATATATATATATATATATATATATATATATATATATATATATATATATATATATGTCGTACCTAGTAGCCAGAACTCACTTTTTGGCCTACTATTCAAGGCCCGATTTGCCTAATAAGCCAAGTTTTCATGAATTAATGCTTTTTCGACTACCTAACCTACCTAACCTAACCTAACCTAACTTTTCCGGCTACCTAACCTAACCTAACCTATAAAGATAGGTTAGGTTAGGTTAGGTAGGGTTGGTTAGGTTCGGTCATATATCTGCGTTAATTTTAACTCCAATAAAAAAAAATTGACCTCATACATAATGAAATGGGTAGCTTTATCATTTCATAAGAAAAAAATTAGAAAAAATATATTAATTCAGGAAAACTTGGCTTATTAGGCAAATCAGGCCTTGAATAGTAGGCCAAAAAGTGAGTTCTGGCTACTAGGTACGACATTATATATATATATATATATATATATATATATATATATATATATATATATATATATATATATATATATATATATATATATATATATATATCTTTTAACCCTGTGCTGGAGGCTGGCACTCTAGGCTACAAGAATGGAATGGATTTCACATTAATTCAAGATTGCAAACTGGGTGTTACTCAAAATGTTCCTCGTCTCTATGGGTTAAGTCAAAGTTTGAGTTTTGCTCCAGCAAAACATTAAGATTTTGAGTGGCACAGTGAGAGGGGGGGGGGGCTGCCTTGCTGTCTGGTTGGCGTTGACTGGACCGTGGTCAGAGAGGTGTACACAGTCTCAACCTTCCCTCCAGCCTCATATTCCGGCTCCTAGGCCACCTTCACACTCTTCCAGCCGGCCACGACCGCCAGTGTGCCGCCGCCGCTCACTAAAGCCGAAATTCCCGCCTGTTTATTTGCGTGGCGGAGGAGCTGCCCCGCGTCAGAAGCGACCGCCGCCGCCGGGGTCCCCTGGTGTGAGGGCGTCTTGTCTCAGGCTGGTCTTAATGTTTTAACACCTCGCCACAGCCAGTACCTAGAGACGCGTGAGAAATGTTTGTTGTTGCAGACACAGCTCTCTGCCTGTCCGCCTCCACTTGCCCCACACTGACTTAACTATTAAAGACGCAATACTTCAGTCTTGTTTAGTGAGAGGGAAGGACAAGCTCATTATACAACTGCAGTTAAACATCAACAGACTTCAGGCTCCGCACCAGGATGTTTGTTAGTGTAAGCTTTATGCTGCCACAAACAGTGTATGACTGGTGGTGACAAACAATGTAAGACTGGTGGTGACAAACAGTGTAAGACTGGTGGTGACAAACACTGTAAGACTGGTGGTGACAAACAGTGTATGACTGGTGGTGACAAACAATGTATGACTGGTGGTGACAAA